TGGAAGAATATTGTATAGATACAGTGTGAATTCAGCTTTGAAGAGTAAGTAAAATTTGGGCATGTGGAGATTTGTTGCAAAATTATTCCACTAGTGTCTCTCATCTGCCAGCTCTATTTAGGTACATATGTGAATACTTTTAAAGAAATATATAGAAATTTGTATTAGAACCCGTTAGGAATCATAGCAGAGATAAAGTTTGAGCTGGGTCTCAAAGGACTACTAGAAACATACCAGACAAAATGGACAAACTAAATAGAGGAAAGAGCATATTTAAAATATATGTAAGTGTGGTTTATATTACTACCAGTATTATAACGTGTTTTGAGTTGGGATTCAGATGAAATAGTAAGAAAAAAAGTCACATTAGGGCTAGACTGTGAAGAGTATTTTACTGACCAATAAAGAATTTTAACTTGACGTATAAAATAGAAAGCCAAAGGTGGACCAGCAGGTTGCATAATGATTACATCTCTGAGCTTCCATGTAGTTGACTGTGGTTCAAGTCCCAGACCTGGTGCCTTGAAACTCACTAGGCATGTGTGCCTAAGATCCCTAGAAGACAATGGAAGAGAGAGGATTGTGGCATAGCCATCCCCCTGGACGGTGATTTCTTGTATCTGTTTCTCTCTCTCTTTTTGATGAATTCACACACCCTGTAGCAAAAATCTCTCTCAAAAAAGAAAGAGAAAAAGAGAAAGAAAGAAAGAAAATGAGGTGGTACTAGCATAAAGACAGACATTCATAGACCAATGAAATAAAATAGAGAGTCCAGAAATAATTCCACAATCAGTTTTCACCAAGAGTGCCAAAGCATTGAGAAAGGGACAATCTTTTTTCAACAGCTGGTGCTGTGAAGATTAGAAATGCACATACAGAAGAATGAAGTTGTACCTTTATTTTATATACAAAAATTAACTCAAAATGAATCTGAGCTCTAATTTTAAAGCTAAAAGGCTTGGGGCCAGCAGATGGCATGATGGTTATGTTGCTGAACTCCCTCGTAGTCAACAACAATTCAAGTCCCAGACCTGACAACTTGAAACTTATACCAGGTACATGTGCCTGCCTGCCCAGAATCCCAAGAGGAGAATGGAAGTGAAGGGATTGCAGTGTGGCCATCCCCCCCGGGGGATGATTTCTCACTTTCTGTCTCTCTGTCCCTCTGGCAAGCACATGTGCTCTAAAAAGCAAAAATATATCTCAAAAGAAAAAAGCTAAAAGTCTCGGAGGAAAATACATAGGGAAATCATGACATTGGACTTGGCCGTAAATTCTTGGATATGTTACCCAAGTCACAGGCAACAAATAAAAAAAAAATGGGTAAACTGGATTTTATCACAATTAAAAATGATTTTGCCTCAACATTATCAAGAGAATGAAGACAACCTATAGATTGATAAAAGATATTTGCAAATCTTGTGTCTCATAAAGGATTATACGTAAGACTATACAAAAACTTCTCAACAACAAAAAGACAAGTCAATTTAAAAATGGGCAAAGTTCCTAAAAAGACATATATCCAAAGAAGATACACTAATGACCAATAAGTATATGAAGAATTGGTCAATATCACTAATTATTAGGAAAATGCAAATCAAAATCATTGGAGTTGCCACTTTACATGCATTAGGAGGGCCACTGTCAAGAGCCAGAAAATAATACATATTAACAAAGATGTGGAGAAATGGAACCCCATTGGAACATAGTTAGTGGCAATTTAAAATGATACAGCCACTATGCCAAATAATATGAGTAGTTTCTGAAAAAATAAAAAATCGAGTTATGTTATCCAACAATTTTACTTCTGGATATGTATTTTAAAGAATTGAAAGCATGGGACCAGCAGGTGGCATGGTGGTTAAGGTGCTGGACACTCCCACATGGCTGAACAGGGTTCAAGTCCTGAATCTGGTGGCTTGCATTCTTACTTCCTCTCTCTCTCACTCTCACCCTCTGTCTCTCTCTGGTCAAATTAAGAAATAAATGAATGAATAAATAAAATTAAAAAAAAGAATTGAAAGCGGAGTCTCAAAGAGATCATTTTTATATCTGTATTCATAGTAGTATTTACAATAGCCAAAAGATAGAAATTGCCCAAATGTCTAGTAGGTAAATGGATAAACAAGATATTTTATATTTGTACAATTTAATATTCAGTTTTAGAAAGGAATGAAATTCACATGCATGCTATGACATAGAGGAATCTTAAAAGCATTGTGCTAAACGAAAGAATCTAGTCATGGGATTCTACTTCTGTGAGATGCCTAGAATAGACAAGTTCATACAGACAGAAAGTAGGATAGAGATAACCAAGAACTAGAGAGAATGTGGAGTTATTGTTTAATAGGTACAGAATTTAAATTTGAAATGATGAAAAAGTACTCTAACATTGTAAATGTGCTTATTGCCACTCAATTGTACACGTAAAATGGTAAGTTGTGTACATATTTTATCACAATAAAACATGTAGTGTGGGCTTCTCTTGGAAAATTAGAACTTGTCTTGCTAAGACCTCATATTTATCAAAATAAAGACTGTATTTGATGTGTAATTGTTCGTTTATATTCCTACCTGGTCCTTGTAGGCATTTGAGTCTTGCAGTATATAAATGTGGATATTTATTGGTCAATGAAAATTAATTAGGAAAAAAGGTGATTTGCACTTAACCAAGGAGGCCACTGGTTGTAGCACAATTTCTGCTTAATTAGATGAGATTAATTTATCTGTTACTCATTTAGTTTCATGTTTTACAATCTCCAGTTAGTAGTTTGAGATCCTGTAGATATTAAATATGACTTTTAGTATATTTTAGATGTCTTCATTTATACATGTTATTAGTTGCAGATTAATTATTTACTTCAGTATACTGTTACAATATAACATATATATTTATACTCTATACACACCTGACCCTTAAACAACACAGATTTGAATTATACAGATGTACTTATGCATACACATTATTTCAATAAGTATACTGTAAATACAGTACATACTGTAAACATTTAAATTTAGGATTTTCTTTTTTTTTTTTTTTTTGAGAAGTTTTTGCTATAGGGCGCATGCATTCGCCAGACAGAGAGAGACAGAGACAGAAAGCGAGAAATCACCCCCGAGGGGGTATGGCCACGCCACAATCCCTTCTCCTCCATTCTCTTCTCGAGATCTTGGGCACGCACACACATGCACCCGGTATGAGTTTTAAGCCACGAACTGGGACACGAACTGCAGTGGACTACATGATGATGTCCAGCGACATAGTCATTACGCTAACTGCTGGTCCCTAGGATTTTCTTAATAACATTTTCATTTCTCTAGCTTACTTTAATGGAAGACTATAGTATATAACACATATAAAATATGTGTTCATTGACTATTTATTTAATAGGCAAGTCTTCCAGTCAGTGTAGGCTATTAACATAAGTTTTGGGGTAGTCAAAAGTCATATTCTGATTTTATAATGCCTGGAGGGTCATACTCTAGCCCCTGTATTGTTCAACTACTTTATTTTTCTGTTCATCTATTTTTTAATTTTGGGGTTTTTTTTTAATTTTAAAATTTATTTATATTCATTCACTGTACATCATTACAGTATACAAAATGAGATTTTTCTATCCAGAATACACTGTATATTGGCTCAAGGATATTACCATATGTGTTGTTATCATCAAATAATTTTCCATTTTTTGTTTCCTATATATTTTGCTTCTTTTTTTCTTCCCCCTTGATTCCCTACTTCTCACGCTCTGCCATTTCCCACCCTCCTTCCACATCTTCTCTGGTACCTATAGTTGCTTTCTGTGACTTTTTTTTTCCTCCACATTTTATTGATTCACTAAATATCTTAATCTAAATACTTTTCAGTAGCAAAATGTAGCTGATATATACATATCTATGATCACATGTCTAACTTTTAGGCATAAACTTCAATGAATAGAATGAACATACTATAAAGTAGCACGTAACTGGGCCTGTATAGCTTACTGTAATCATTAAATAGGTATTTTCTTAATGCATTTTTTAAATTCAAGAAAAGCAATTTAGTTTTTTTCTTTTTTTTTTAAGAGGTTTTCGATATAAGGCGTGTGCTCTCGCCAGACAGACAGAGAGAGACAGAGAAACAGAAAGCGAGAAATCACCCCCCAGGAGGGATGGCCACGCCGCAATCCCTTCTCCTCCATTCTCCTCTCAGGATCTTGGGCACGCACACCCACGCGCCCGGCGTGAGTTTGAGCCACCGGGTCCAGGACTCGAACCGTGGTCGACTACGTGGGAGTCCAGGGACATAGCCATTACGCTAACTGCTGGTCCCAGCAATTTTAGTTTTAATAGATCAAAATAAGAAGATTAAGAGAAATTTATTTAAGACTTAAACGCAGGAGAAAGGTTAGGATTCAGTTCAAACAGGAGGTAGATGAACCTATCAACAGTTCAAGAGAAGGCAAAAATCCTTAAATATGGAAAACAAAGCATAGAAGAAAATCAGTTACGTGTTAGTCAAAAGTCAGAAAATTCTATTTCATCAGTTCAGTCTCGTGTACTTAATCTCTCTTCTATTGAATTTGCAGTGTTACTGTGGTCTGATCTTTCCATTTACATTCTTGAATTTAACATTTAGCATTATTATTGATCTTAATGGACTTCTCCTTACCATTAAGTTGGCCATTTTCTTGGTTGTTTTTTTGTACTCATATATCTGCATGTTTGGCTTTAGCTTTCCTGGTATAGTACTCCCTTTTCAGTACTTCTGAAGAGACCTGGTCTGGTGTTGGTAAATTCCTTCAGGTTTTGTTTATCTGAGAATGTTTTTTCTTCCCATATGAAGTATAATCTTGCCAGGTATAGTATTTTTGGTTGAAATTGTTTTTCACTTAACATTTTGAGTATATTTCCCCATTCTTTCCTTGCATGCAGTTTTACAAATGAGAGGTCCTATGTTAGCCTGATGGGATATCCTTTGAAAATAACTTGATGTTTCTCTCTTGCCAATTTTAGTATCTTTTCTCTGTCTGTGGTTTTGGTTAATCTGGCTATGATGTGCCTTGGAGAAGATCTTCTTGGGTTGATGGATCTAGATATTTGAATAACTCTAGGTTTGGAAAGTTTTCTTCTAGTATTTCACAGAGTAGATTACCAATGCCCTTATTTCTTTACCTTCTGAGATACCAGTGATCCAGATGTTTGGGCATTTAATGGTTTGTAGTATTACTTGTATATTATTCTTTTTTGGGGGGGAGGGTAATTTTCTCAGTTTCTGACTTTTTTCTAGGCCAGAGTTCTATTTTTTATCTAAGATTCGATCTACATGATCTATCTAATCTGCTTTTAATAATTTCAAGGGAGGTTTTGATTTTCTGTATTACAGCCTTCATCTCTAACAATTCTGTTAGACATGTTTTCCTCTTTCAGATGGTGCAAGAACTTCCTCACCTTCTGGAATTCGTTGTCTCTTTTTCCCCACATCTTCTGGAGTTCATTGTCTCTGTTCTCTTGCATCTCTGTTAGCTTTGTCATTATAAATATTCCAAATTCTTTGACATTTCCAGGAGTTCAGCTGTACTGTCTGTGGAGGAGGATGAGTTATTCCTTTCCCTTGCAGGAGAGATATTTTCTTGGTTTCAAGTAAATGCTATTTTCATATTTCTTGTGCCTCTGAGGTGGTTTTTGGTCATCAGATGGATTATACAGTTTTTCCCAATTTTTTGAGTTAAATCTGAGTGTTCAGAGGCATGCAGGAGAGGGTGATCTGCAATCTCTAAGCAGTACCTACAGTTTCCTCCCTTTATGCAGCAGATTCCATGGAAATTGAGGATCTTTCTGAGCTTAAAAGTATTTAGATACTTGGCTACTGTGTGCCTAGACCTGTCTAGAAACTCAGTGTATGGAGGCTGAGCAGAAAAGCGAGAAAGGTAAGGAAAAAGGAAAAGAAAGAAAAAAGACCAAATGAATTTAAAAAAAAAAGGAAAAAAAAATTTTTTTTTGAACCAAAAATGGAAACAGCTTGGTGTGCTCCTCAGAACTCAAATGTAGATGGCAGGTGCTTGACTTGTCCTATGTGGGAGCAGGGGAAGGTAAGAATTTGCAAGATAAAAGAGCAGCAGAGAGCTAAAAAGTTTAAAAATTTTAAAAAAAGAATGAGAGTGACAGAGAAAATACAAAGGGTGTTGTACTTGGCTAAATCTGGAAGGCAGGAGGGTAAAATCTGGGCAGACAGGCTTCAGTTGGCCTGATTACTAAAAGCAGTAACTCCTGGTCAGTTGTTTTTAATAATAATAGTATTCTACATTTTTTTCAGTTCTACTTAGTTTAATTGCCCCTGAATGCGGGTGATCTTCAGTGACATTGACTTTTGTATATTTGTCAGATATATGAACAGTAGTTTCCAACATTTTTTTTTTTTGAGAATTATTTTATTTAACTTTATTTATTTTAATTTGACCAGAAAGGGACAGAGTGAGAGAGAAAGAGAGGGAAGGTGAGAAAGCAAGCCGCAGGTCCAGGACTGGAACCGTGGTTGGCCATGTGAGAATCCAGCGTTTTTAACCACCACACCACCTGCTGGCCCTGAGTTTCCAACATTTTAGTATAGAAATTCTCTTTAAATAATCTTACACACATACTGGTGAAAGCACCTTCCCTCCTATAAATTTTAACCTTAGGAAATGATGTAACAATGATTTAAAATTGTGCTGTCCAGTACAGTAGCCAACAGTTGTATGTGGCTATTTAAATTCATTAAAATTAAATAAAATTTAAAATTAAGAATTTGGTTCCACTAGCTATAGTTCAAGTGCCCAGTAGCCACATGTAAGTTTCATATTGGAGAGAGTGCAAAGAACATCTCTGTCATTGCAGTGGACACTGCTGGTTTAGAGCATCTGTGTTTAAATTCTTTTATTTACTACTGGTGTAACCTCAAGCAAATCACTTCTCTTCAGTTGTCTTCTCCGAAAATGTACATAATATTAGTACAGTGGGATTGTTACAGGGGTTAAATTAAAATGTGTAAAGTTCCTAAAATGGTATCTAACACATGCTATTGTTGTGTTAATGAAATTCCATTATTCTTCTTCAGGATGCTAAGTTTGGAAAAATACAGTATAATAAACATCAGTTTTTAAGATTGTACATTGTATCAGCTTGGAATTTTGCACTGTGTCAAGCATATTCAATAGTTTATGGTTCTTTGTGTATTTTAGTTTTTGCTATAAGGTGAATATGCTCGCCAGAAGAGACAGAGAGAGGGAAAATGAGAAATCACCCCCTGGTGGTGGTAGGGCTGGCCACTCTGCCATCTCTTCTCGTCCAGTCTCCTCTCGGGATTTGGGATGCGCACAAATATACACACTGAGCCTGATTTCAAGCCACTGAGCCCTGGACCCTTACCATGCCCTTGGCAATGTGGAATCCAGCCTTTTGCTTTTTTTTTTTTTTGAGAGGTTTTTGCTACGTGGTGCGTGCGCTCCCCAGAAAGACAGAGACAGACAGAAAGCGAGAAATCACCCCCCAGGGGGGATGGCCACTGCAATCCCTTCTCCTCCATTCTCCTCTCTGGGGGATCCAGCCTCTTAACATCCACACCACCCACCAGCCCCAACAGTTTACAGTTTTTATGACTTGCTTAACAATACTTTATTTTCCTTTAGCGAGTTGAAGAATTTCTCAGCAAAGATATCAGTTACCTAATTTCAAGTAAAAAGGAAGCTAAATTTGCACAAACCTTGGGTCGTAATTCTCCTGTTCCAAGTCCAGAATCAGCATATACTGCAGAAACCACTTCACCTCATCCCAGCCATGATGGAAGTTCATTTAAGTCTCCGGACACAGTAAGTCTCTTAAATACATTACTCAAAACTCAAAAAACTATAGCCTGAGGAGCTCATGGTTTTCAATAGCAGGCTGGCAACAGGGTCCATTTAGGTTGGGCAGTTACAAAGCCACTTACATGTGGCTTTCCAATTATTAAGAAGGAATCTTTTAGAAAGATGAGGGTTTTTTCCTAATGTGTAGTCATACCATGATTCTTCAAGTATACCATTTTATTTGGGGGTGGCTTTTATTTTTTCAGAGTAACTTATAGCTGAAAAATTAACATCATTTAAAAAAAAATCTTTTTTTATTTCAGAGCAGGAATAAGCCCTGCTTGTTTTTGTATAGCCCACTGCCTGTTTTTGTTCAGCCTGCATGCTAAACATGGTTTTTACATTTTCAAATGGTTGGTTGAAAAAAATCAAAAGAATAATATTTTTTGGTACTAGAAGGTATAACATTCAGATTTCTTTGTCCATAAACTTGTGATGGAGTATAGCTGTACTAAATTGTTCGGGTATTATCTGTGGTGGTTTTAGTGCTTTAGGCAAAATTGAATAGTTGTGATAGAGACCATAAGACCTACAGTGCCTAAAATGTGTGCCATGTGGACCATTGCATATAAAGGTTGCCATCCATCCCCTGCTCTGGAATTATAGACATTACATCTCTTTCACTCCATTGGCAATAAATTGGAATATTAAGGGAAAGACAGATTAAATTGATTTAATTGGGTGTGAGGAATGGAAAAAGATTGAGAGATAGAATGTATAATTTATCTCATTTTTTAAGATTGAAATATAATTGTCATTCTCAAATATCCTCAGCGTATATACTATAGCCATTCAAAAAGCAGAAAACAAGGGGAAAACAGGTAGAAGAAAAAAGTTGGAAGGAAGTATCATTTGGGAAAAAAGTCATAATACATAGAATGGATAAAAAAAGTCAAAGGCAAAGAGAACAAGGAAGGATCTTGCATTCTCTCAGTTAATGTTTTTTTTGAGCAGAGAAATGATAGACTAGTGATTAGTTCCAGGCTCATTGTTGCTCATTGCATTTCAACTGCTTTTTCTTGTATTTTATTTTAAAAATAGCATAACAAAAACAATATGTAAGGTTAACTGTTATTCTTAAACCGTCAATTAAATAGGATGCTAAAATGTGAACCAACTTAATTGTAGATAGAGAATTCCAGTGGAACCTAGCTATTTTACTCTTCAGTTGAATAGGGTTTACTATAAAACTGACCTTGGTTTTCATTAAGTTGAATTTTAATTGTTCCACAAAAAAAATTTTAAAAACTTTTAAATAGATTTTGCCAAGACCCTAGAGAAATCACTTTTGACCATACATTTGTTGAATTGGTAGTTATTTAATGACTTGTACAAATAAAATTTCTCTATTTACTTTTATTTATTTTACCTTTTTAATCTTTCTTCAATGAAGCAATATTATAATCTTATGATTTTGTGGGTTTTTTTTTTTTTTTATCTTTTTATAGGTGTGTTTAAGCAGAGGAAAATTATTAGTTGAAAAAGCTATCAAGGACCATGTAAGTAGGGACTGAAATGTGCTTTATATTTTGTTATTAAAAACTCAACTAGAAATTTTAGATAGTCTTTGAAATTTGCCTTTCTTCATTTTTAATAGGAAGTGCCTAAATTTTAGCATGTATTTAATTTTACAAAAAAACAGAATCTACTTTTCATGGAGAAACATCCCCATCTTGTGGCCTTTTAAAATATTACTGGAAACCTTTGAAACTTGCCTTACGGTATGCATTGTCAACAACATGGGAAATATTTAGTGGGATCGATTTTAGAAATTCCAAAAGAAAAAACTTAATATCCTTATTACTGTTGTACTTCTAAAAGGTCTATTCTGAATAACCACCTCAGTGACATAAAGCATCAAATATTTTTTTCTTTTTAAAAATTCATTTTAAATAGTAATTGTCTAGAAATACTGTTAAACTTTTTTTTTGTTTGGTTTTCTTACAGGATTTTATTCCTTCCAATAGCATATTATCAAATGCCTTATCATGGGGAGTAAAAATTGTTCATATTGATGGTAAGAATTTATAATTGTTTTAAGTGCCTACATCTGTCCCTTGATTCCTTACTTTACATAGTGAAAATATTTACAGCAGGGGATACCTACAATGGCAGTTCTTTCATCTAAATTAACTGCAACTGTAAGAAGACACCAGTGTTTATTTCCAAAATTCTAATCTTAACCTTTTATTTCTTTTAATAAAGACATTAGATACTACATTGAACAAAAGAAGAAGGAGTTGTATTTGCTCAAGAAATCAAGTACTTCTATAAGAGATGTGGTATGTTGTCTTTATTTTTAAAACTTTTTAATTAAAAAAAATTATTAAAGGACCAGCAGGTACTTTGATGGTTTAGGCGCTAGACTCCCACACGGTTTATTGTGGTTCAGTTCCAGACAAGGCAGCCTGAAAATCACACTGGGCACATATGCATGTGTGCTCAAAATCCTAAGAAGAGAATGAGGGAGAAGGAATTGCAGAGTGGCCATTCCTCCTGGAAGGTGATTTTTTTCTTTCTTTCTTACTGACTCTCTATCTCTTCTTACTATCTTTCTATCTCTCTAGTGAGTACATGTACCCTATGTCAAAAGCCATTTTAAAAAAAAAAGGACTAAGTTTAATTTTTCATTTTTGTATCTGTAAGTTTTCTCAGTCAAATAGAAAGTATTTCCAGGGCCTACAGGTGGTATAGTGGTTAAGGTGCTGAACTCCCACATGCTGACCAGAGTTTGAGTCCCAGACCTGATGGCTTGCTTTCTCACTTTTCTCCTTTCTCTCTCTCTGATCAACTTAAAATAATAATAATAAATAAAATAGTCTTTAAAAAATACATTATTGTCAAAATATGCCAAAGGTAAGACTGTGTATCATAGTGCATGGTTTTGTTATTCAGAATAGTGATTAACTTTAGGTTAGTACTTGAGATAAAACATTCCTTGAGGGTCGACCAGCAGGTGGCCTGGTGGCTAAGGTGCTGGACACTCCCACATAGCTGACCATGGTTTGAGTCCCGAACCTGACGGCTTGCTTCCTCACTTTCCCTTTCTCTGTCTTTGTGTCTCTGGTCAAATTAAAATAAATGAATGAATAAATAAAATTAAATAAAAAATCATTCTTTAGGAAAAAAAAAAAACATTCTTGGGGTAGGCCAGCAAGTGGCTTGGTGAAGTCACTGGATTCCCACTTGGCTGACTGCAGTTCAAGTCCTGGACTTGGCAACCTGAAAATAACACTGAGTGCCTGTGCATGAATGCCCAAAATACTGAAAGGAGAATGCAGGAGAAGAGATTGCTGCTCAGCCATCCCAATTGGGAGGTGATTTCTCACTTTCCCTCTCTCTATCAAGTTCAGGCCCCCTATAGCAAAAACTTAAAAACAAGCAAAGTCCCTGGGATAGTGACATAGATTAGGTGTTTTGTTTTTGTTTTTGTCTGGTACTGTTTTTCATAAGATACTTTGTTCTGTGGAACAAAATTAACCTATTGTATAAAAAGTTTCTAAAATAAGTAATACTTTTCCATTTGAAAAATAAAGAATATAGTTACTTTTACCATAGGACAGGCACAACCACTGCCCAAGAATATAGTTACTTTTCAGATGCTTTAGATGGTTTGTAACATAAATCTTGTGACATAGTATAGCTATCTGTCCTGACCTTAAAATCATTGCTACCAAACACTGTTCTCTATTAGACTTAATATCCTCACATTTTTAGTCTCTTCCCTTTTTCTGGCTTCTTTTAAGCCTCTATATAGATTCAAGCCTTTTCCATCTATCTTTTAAAACAAGTAAAACTTACCCTGATCCTATATTCATACCTGATTACTATCAGTTTTCATATTCCTTCTCATCCATATTTCTCAAAATCTACTTTTATACTTTCCATTCATTTTTCAACCTACACAGTAAGAAATTCCTGCCACTTTGCCCAATCAATTTGTCAGTTTTTAAAACCAATGATACTTGTTCTCTCAGTTGTTGTGTATTCTTAAACTTTTCTCTTCTGGAATTTCTCTCATCTCTCTCCTCTTTTCAGTTTATCTATTTCTTCTATGAGTGAGAGAGACACAGACAAGCATTGCTGACAGGGTCCTCATGCTGTGGTCCACATCTAGCTTCAGCCAGCCATAGATCATGGGCTTGTAGGTGCTCAGTGTGTTCTGGGAAGTCTCTGGACTTGAACCTGGAATCTTCCCATGTGGGTCAGCTTTACAGTATTGCATTATGATCTAAGCCATGGTCTAGCCGTCTGTTTACTCTTATCTCAGTTTTCTCCTGGTTTTTATCATATTTCTGCTCTTCATGTAATCCATAAATGACTGGGATCTGAAAGGAAAATAGGGCTGACTTTTTGGTACACTGGTTAAGTGCTGTGCATTGTGATCTCGATCCCATGTGGCTGACTGTGGTTTGAATCTCAGCTCCAGTGACTTTAGAAACATTATTTTTGTCTGTGTGCTCATGCGCGTGTGTGCACACATGCATATGTTCAAAATCCTGATGGAAAGGCAGATAAATGGAAAAGTATTGCAGCTGGACTGTGTCCTGTTGGGGGTGTTTACTATTTCTCTATCACTCTGGCAAGCATGTGTACCGTCTAGCAATTAAAAATAAATAAATTTCATAGACGAGTGTATATAGACATGAAACCATAAGTAGGAAGTATGTTTTGGAATTTTTCTATAATACAACTTCATCTTTGAGTTGAAGAATGACAAAAAATTCAACTAGAAAAAACAACAGGTTTCGACCAGTAGATGGTGTAATGGCTATGTCACTGGACTCTCATGTAGTCGCAATTTGAGTCCTGGACGCAGTGGCTTAAACTCATGCTGGGCGCCTGTGCGTGCATGCCCAAGATCCTGAGAGAAGGGATTGTGGTATGGCCATCCCCCCTCGGGTGTGATTTCTCACCTTCTATCTCTCTGTCTCTTCTGATTTTGGCTCGTACATGTGCCCTATAGAGAAACCAACCGATTAAGATTATAAAGAGTCTTGTATAATTTATAAAGGAATTAAATTTTATTTTGAAAAATTTAGAAAGTTTTCAACAGTTTATAAATAAGAGTAACCTGATTGACTGCTTTTTTGGAGAGATCTGGTTGCCAGTAAAAAAAAAAATGAGTTATTTAACTCTTGAGACTGACAGTGGAAAAGTGGTTTTGAACTCTTTTGGACACCATTCTCAGTCAGTATGTTTTACATCACAACTACCCTGTGTGTACATGCCATATACAAGAATTCATGAAGTTCCTATGAATTCCCCTTTTTAAAAAGAATTATTTCTTTTAAAAGAAAAGTTATTGCTTTTCTTTCTCTCTTTCTGTCTCCAAAAAGCACATGTGCCCTATAGCAAAAATCTCTTAAAAAAAATTATTTAGGCCTTTTACCTTTCTCACCAACCTTTATGCTACAGTTTCTATAAATCTACTTCTTATGAAAATGCCATCAGAGTTTATATTTCTTTGCCTTAAAGTCACACATTTTTAAAAATAATTATTTAATTTTTAATTATTATTTTAAAATTTTCTATAGAGTATGTGTGCTCATGGGGGGGTGGGAGGAAAGTGAGAAAGCAAGCCACCAGGTCTAAGAATAACCATGGTCAGCCACATGGGAGTCCAGCACCTTACCACCAAGCCACCTGCTGGCCCAAAGTCTACATATTTTAAATAACTTACAAAGAGAAACATACCCTAATTCATCCAGATATTTACCCCTTCTCTTGTTTTTTCATTCTTGAAACTCCAGTTTTCTCTCTGATACTATTTTCCTTTGTAAGAAGAATTTCCATTAGTATTTTTTTAGAGCTTTTGCTGGCAGCGAATGCTATTAGATTTCCCTTAACACTGTTAGATTTCTCCATGTGAGAATATTTTCACTGAATAAGTGTTAGGAATTAAGGGATCAGAGGGAGTGTGGTGGTTCAGGCTCAGGACTCCCATGTGACCAACTGCAGTTCGAGTGCTAGACTTGATGGCTTGCTTTTTCACTTTCCCTTGCTCTCTGTCTTTCTCTAGTGAGCTCATGTGACCTATGACAAATTTAAAAATAATAATAATAATAGGGACCAGCAAATGGCGTAATGGTTACATCAGTGGACTCCCACATGGGTGACGACGGTAGGAGTCCTGGACCCAGCATCTTAAACCTCACATTGGTTGCATGTGCATGCGTGCCCAAAATTCTGAGAGGAGAATGGAAGAAAAGGGATAGTGGCATAGCCATCCCCCACGGAGTAATTTCTCATTTTCTTTCTGTCTCTCCCTCCCTCTCCCGTGAACACACGTGCCCTATAGCAAAAATCTCTCTTAAAAATCATAATAATAATAAATAACTATTTTTTTAAAGAATTATAAATTGATTGGCCGGCAGGTGACATGGTGGTTAAGGGCCCTGGACTCCCTCCCACATGGTCAACTGTGGTTCAAGTCCTGGACTTGGTGGCTCACTTTGTCACCTTTTCTCTCGCTCTCTTTCTCTCTGTCCCTCTCTGGTCAAATTAAACAAATAAAGTTAAATAAAATAATTCTTTAAAAAATTACAAACTGGGGTGAGCAGTTAGTGTAATGGCTAAGTCACTGAACTCCCGTGTAGTCGACTACGGCTCAAATCCCAGACCCGGTGGCTTAAACTCACGCCGGGCGCGTGTGCATGCGTGCCCAAGATCCCGGGAGGAGAATGGAGGAGAAGGGATTGTGTCATGGCCATCCCCCCGGGGGGTGATTTCTCGCTTTCTGTCTCTCTGTCTCTGTCTGTCTGGCGAGCGCATGCGCCTTATAGCGAAAACCTCTCCGAAAAAAAAAAGGAATTTAATTTTATTTATCATTATTATATATCTATATATTTATTTGTTTATTTTTATTTTTTTACTTTTATTTTTTTGCTACAGGGCACGAACACTCACCAGAGAGAGGGGAAGAGAGAGAGGCAAAGTCAGAAAGCAAGCAGCCAAGTCTGGGACTCAAACCATGGTCAGCCATGCAGGAGTCCAGCACCTTAATAACCACACCTCCTGCCAGCCCCTAGGACTTTTTTTTCTCTATCCTTGGTTATCAGCAGTTTGATTGAAATGTCTCTAGGCATGATTTATTTTGCAGTTAACTAACTGTTTGCAGCTTACAGAGCTTCTTGAATGTATACATTTATGTTTGGAAAATTTGAGGCTGTCATTTTATTTTTCCCCCCTAAACAATTTCTCTCTCTTTCTCTCTCTTTCTTTTTTTTTAATGTACCTCAGCACTAAAGTTAGACCCTTAAATGTTACACCATAGGTCTCTGAGGCTATATTCATATTTTCTCCCTTTTTTCTTTCAATTGGAGGTTTCTGTTCATCGCTTTCAAGCTCATCGCACTTCACTTTGGCATCTTCTTGTGCTGTATTAAACCTAACCAGTGAATTATTTTATCTCAGATAATAAATGTTTAGTTTTATAATTTGTATTTGATTCTTTTTTTGTGGTTTTTCTGCTGAGAACTAGTATCTTTCTATTCATTTTAAGTGTATTTGCCTTCACTTTTTTTGGGGGGGAGGGGTTTTTGCTATAGGATGTGTGCGCTCGCCAGAAAGATAAGAGACAGACAGAAAGCAAGAAATCATCCCCCAGGGGAGATGGCCACGCCACAATCCCTTCTCCTCCATTCTCCTCCCGGGATCTTGGGCACGCACGCACACGCACCCGGCATGAGTTTCAGCCACTGGGTCTGGGATTCGAACCGCTGTCAATTACATGGCAGTCCAGCGACATAGCCATTACGCTAACTGCTGGTCCATGTGTCTTCACTTTTCAAGTAAGTTTAACATCAGAAATATCTTAGAATTGGCATCTGATTATCTTATTTTTTTTTTTTTTAAAGAGATTTTTGCTATAGGGTGCAGGTGCTCACTGGAAAAACAGAGACAAAGAGAAAGAAAGTGAGAAATCACCACAATGGGTATGGCCACACTGCAGTCCCTCCTCCATTCTTCTCTTGGGATTTTGGGCATGCACGTACATGCACCTGTTCTGAGTTTTAAAGTCCCGCTACTCAAACCACTATTATGTAGGAGTCCAGTGACATAACCATTATGCCATCTGCTGGTCTCAGCATCTGATTATCTTGTTCCCTTAACAGTTGATTATGTTATCCTAGTTCTTGTCCTTTTTTGAATTATTTCTTCGATGAAAGACAAAGACAAGCATCCCTTATAGGATCCTCATACCACCTTTTATCCTTAGTCTTTACCAGTCAGGGTCATAGACAAGCATATATGTCCAGGTGGAATCCTCAAGACACAAATCTGGGGCCTTCTCTTCTGACTTCAGCCTTTTAGAGTGTTATCATTGCACCACTGCAGCAGGCCTTTGTGACTTATATGTCACACAAAGTTTGTCCATATGCTGAACACTAAACGTTATCTAGGCTCCAGATCTGTTGTTATAGCCTAAAGAAGATTGTTTTTATTTTTGTTGTTTGAATAGGCAGTCAAGCCAATTTTATAGAATCTGTTAGTTATGTCTCTCTTTATATGGATTGAGGGGGTCTAATTTCAGTTTCAGTTTGCAAAGACTTTTATGTTTCTTTGGAGTTGTCTTGTATACACTCCATATATATAGGTTAGTCTAAGAATTGGGTAGTAGGTTAAGTCTTTTTTAAAATATTTATTTAATTTTATTTATCATTATTTTTACTATTTTTTAATTTGACCAAAGAGAGACATATAGACATAGAGATAGAGGGGGAGAATGAGAAAGCAAGCCACCAGGTTCAGGACTCAAACTGTAGTCAGCCATGTGGAGGTCCAGCACCTTAGCCACCATGCCACCCATTGGCCCCAAGTAGGTCAAATCTTAGTTCCTTTTTCAAAACCCTTATGCTGCTTTGGCTCTGTCGTTTTTTTTTTTTTTTTTTTAACATTTTACCAATTTTTTAAAAATTATTATTTATTATTCTTCAATTTGACCAATGAGAGAGAACAAACTGTCAGGTTTAGGATTTGAACCATGGTCAGCTATGTGGGTTGAAAAAGAGAGAGCAAGCCACCAGGTTCAGAACTAGAACCACTGTTGACCATGTGGGGAGTCCAGTGCTCCAACCACCACACTACCTGCCAGCCCATTGGCTCTGTCTTTAGTATGTACAATGTGGGGATTAAGTGTGACAATTATGTAGGTTTATGCAGATAATTAGAGATCCCCTTATCCAGCCTGCTCCTTTCTTGAATCTCCTCAATCTGTAGCCTGCAGTAGCTCTTTTCCTGGATTGTCTAGTCAAAAAGGAAAGATTGCTTAAATTTTAGCTGCCCAGGCTACCTTTATAACTGCTACTTTGTAAATGAGGCCCACCCTTGATAAAATATAGGAGAAAAGAAGAATATTAGGTTGTTGGGGAAGTCATGATGAGTTTTTCTATGTACAAAGCATGACTGCTGACAACCCAATATTAAAGGGATTACCTCCATAATCTTTTGATCCCTGTATCCTCTTTCCTGGTTCTAGTAGCTAGAAAGATGAGATTTATATAGGCATTTTAGCGGTTGACTCTGCCACTACTGCCAGCTTCATGACTGGAGGTCCAAGTTTTGGCTCCTTTCTACAAATCTGCCTACCTTTTAAACTTTTTAGTCTTAGAGTAGTTGCTTATGAAACGCTGTCTGATTTTTACTTGTAATCAGTATATTAGATGACCTGAACTAACAGGGTGTAATAAAATTTTGCCTAACTGTAGTGTTTGGTTTAACCGTATGGTTTGGGTAAATAACGGGATACAAATTAGCTACATTACTGTTTTTAGATTATGTCATAACTAAACTTTTTCCTTATAGGTTTCTTTTTATGAAGGCAAAAACTATGGCTAGATCACAAGGAACTTCTAGTTATATTTTAAAACCAAACTTGTATTACTGATTGTGTATCAGTGGTTAAGATCTTTAAATCTTGAGACCAGCAAATGATGTAATGATTAGATCACTGGACTCCCACGTAGTCGACCACGGTTCAGGTCCTAAACTTGGTGGCTTATAACTTACGCTGGGTGCATGTGCACACCTGCTCAAAATCTCGACAAGAGAATGGAGAAGGGATTGTGGTGTGGCCATTCCCTGGAGGGTGATTTCTCACTTAATGTCTGTCTTTCTGTGTCTCCCTGGTGAACGCTCATGCCCCATAGCAAAACTCTCTTCAAAAAAGGATCTTTAAGGGCCAGCACGTAACATGGTAGTTAATGGCGCTGGATTCCCACATGGCCGACCACAGTTCAACTCCTAGACCTGGAAGCTTGCTTTCTCATTTTTTCTTTCTCTGTCTCTCTCTGATCAAATTTAAAAGTAATAATAACAAATAGAATTATATAAATAAAATTTTAAAAAAGCTTTAAATCTTAACTAATTATTGTGTAAGTTTTTTGGTTGAGTTGATTTTGGAAAGCAAGAACTTTTTTCTTTGCAAAACAACAATAATTACCCTTCATTGATTAAATTTTGTTCTCTATCTTGAGAATATTTGGGCAAATACACTTACTATCCTTTCAAAATCATCATTTTCAGTTTATCTTTTGTTTTTTCTTTTTAGGGAAAAAAAGCTGGTATTAGCATACAGAAAACAAGAAGTAAGTATTTTGATATCTTTATTTCTTTCCTGGAAAACTGATACCCTAACAGAGCCTCACTATGCCATCATCCTCCCCTGGGCCTCTTATCTAGCCAGGATAACAGGCATATGCAAGTGTACTTGGGAGTGTTCTGAACCAGGATCTGAACCTAGGCCTGCCATGTGGCTCTATCATCACACAGTGGTGCCCCACTATCTGCATATCTGTGGCTAAGCCTTACAACTATTAGGAAAAAAAATCTTTAGATTACCTAGGATGTCAATTATATTGAAAGTCAATTATCTAAATACTTCTTAATTATGAAATAAGATTATGCAGTGGACCTTCTGTATTCCCAGGGGGTGGAAATTACCTCATCTGAGTATTGAAACTGCAAGAGATATGTAGCTCTTTCATTCTGATATTTTTTTTTTTTTTTAAATCTGGATTTGCCCATCTCTAATGTCACGTTGTCTGTGTTCTCAAGCAGGAAGACTCAAAAAGCCTTTTGTAAAGGTGGAAGATATCTGCCAGTAAGTATCTAAGACTAAGTATAATACAAAAGGAGAAGATCTCTAATTAGGCTAGCCCCATTAATAATGTTAGGTTCTTTTTAGACTTATGTTATACTAATATGAATATGCAGTGCATGTTACAGGAAGTAGCATTATTTCATTCTTGCTGAAGTATTGAATTTAAATTAAATCTGTTACAAAATCTCTTAGCAATATCAGTTGATAGTTTATAGCAGTCATAGAACCAATTCACTTTTTAGTATTTCTAATAATTATTCCCTAGCTAAATGTAGTGCCAAATTATTTAGAATGTTAAGATTGCATCTGCATTTATGATTTAAAAAAAATGGTTAGATACTCGACCAGCAGATGGTGTACTGATTATGTCACTAGACTCCTATGGAGTTGTTAGTGGTACAGGTCCCCAACTCAGCGACTTAAAACTCACTCTGGACACTTGTGTGTGCATGCCCAAGATCCTGAGAGGAGAATGGAGAAGAAGGGATCTCCTTGTGGCCATTCTCCTGGGGGATGATTTCTTGTTTTATGTCTCTCTGGCAAGCAAAAATCTCTCTCAAAAAAAAAAAGAGAGAAAAAATTATTAGGTACTATTTGGGAATAGGTCATCTGAGTATAACATCTTATATATTAACTTTCTAAAACTCACTCTGAAGTTTTCTCAGATAAATCTTAATGAAAATACAGATACCAGTAAATGAGTTTGGCATAGGATAGATACTTAGATTACTTCCTCTTGAATTTCCAGTTACTCATTAAGATAGAGACAGCTAATTCTGTCATGTGCTCCTGTAGATGATAAAAGTATATTAGAATTTTCTTTCTATGAAATATGTTACTCTAAAGAAGAAATGCAGTTATTGGGTCGTCAGAAAAGTTGTGATGTGTTTTTCTATGCAAAAATGTGCCGTGACAAAAATTAGGGAAGATACCAATAAATGGAAAGATCACAACATTCATGGATTGGGAGAGTTGATATTAAGATGTCAATCAGTGCTGACCAAAGTGATCTGTAGATTTCAGTGTAATCCCTATCAAAAATTACTATAGACTTTCAATACACCAAACAATCTTGAAAAAGAAAAACAAAGTCAGATATCTCATACTTCTTAATTTAAAACAGTACAAAGCTATAGTAATCAGAACTAGTTGGTACTGGCATATAGACGTACAGTCAATGAAATAGAATAGAAAGCCCAGAAATAAATTTACCACACATGGTTAAATGATTTTCAACAAAGGCACAGATTATTCAGTAAGAAAAAGATTTTTCAACAAATGGTGTTAGGAGAATTAAATATCCAGGAGAATGAAGATATGCAAAAGACTGAAATTGGACCCTTAATTTATATCATTTATCGAGACCAGCAGTTAGCATAATGGCTATGTCTCTGGACTCCCATGTAGTTGACTGCGGTTCGAGTCCCAGACCCGGTGGTGTAAACTCACACCAGGTGCCTGTGCATGCGTGCCCAAGATCCCCAGAGGAGAATGGAGGAGAAAGGATTGCGGCATGGCCATCCCCCCTGGGGGGTGATTTCCTGCTTTCTGTCTCTCTGTCTCTCTTTGTCTGTCTGGCAAGCGCATGCACCCTATAGCAAAAACCTCTCCAAAAAAAAAAAAATTTATATCATTTATAAAAGTTAACTCAAAATAAATAAAAAATTAAGTCAAAATATATCAGTAGATAAAAGCATTAGAAGAAAACTTAGGGAAATAATTCATGACTTTGGATTTGGCTTTTTTTTTCCATAAGTGATTCTTGCTAGAGGGTGTGTACATTCACTAGAGATACAGAGAGAAAGAGAGAGAGAAAGTGAGAAATCATCTCCCCAGGGAGGATGGCCATGCCACAATCTTCTCCATTCTCCTCTTGAGATCTTGGGCACACATGCACTTGATGTGATTTTTAAGTCACTGGGTTCGAGACTCTACAAAGTCGACTCTGTGGGAATCTTAACGGTATTAACCATTACTCCATCTGCTGGTCCTGGTAATGTTTTTTAGTTATGACACCAATAGCACTTGGCAAACTTAAAAGAATTCAATTGAACTGTATAAAAATTTATAACTGTTCGTCAAAGGACACAGCATAGTAAAAAATGCAACACAAAGAATGAGTTAAGATGCAAGTCATATATCTGTTGTAGTAACGGCTTAATATCCAGAATATATAACTCATAAAACTCAACAAAAAAATCAAATAACTGAATTACAATGAACAAAAGCACTAAACAGGTATTCTTTCTGACAATGATACATAAACTTCCAACAAGAGTATGAAAAAATGCTCATTATCACTAATCATCAGGGAAATGCAAATCCAAACCACAGTGAGATACCACTTCACATCTGTTGGGACGGCTACTATAAAAAAACAAAAAATATAACAGCCAAAAGGTGGAAGCAGTCCAAGTTCATTAGCCGATGAATGGTTAAACAATGTGGAGGATATGTATGTATATACGTACACAAAGTGGATTATTATTCAGCCCTCAAAATTTTTAATTGCCAGAGGGCATGTCTGCTCACTAGAGAGGGAGAGAGGAAGAAGGAAAAAGCAACCACCAGTGGGGCAAGCTCTCACTGAAGTCTTTTGTCCATTTCTCTAACCTGTTGGGATTTTGTGTGTACATGGCACCCAGCATGCTTTTCAGGCCGCCAGGGCTGGGATTCAAACTGAAGTCAGCCATGTAGAATCTAGTTCCCTTAACCACTAGACTCTGGGGTCAGGCCTAAAACAAACAAAATTCTGACTAGTGTTACTACGTGGTTAAACATTGTCATGCTATTTGAAATAAGAGGGAAAATATTGCATGATTCTGTTCATATGACTCACCTAGATCAGTCAAATTCATAAATTCAGGAATTAGGTAGGGGCTGCCAGGGGCAGAAGGAAAAGGGGGAATGAAGTTACTCTTTAATGGATATAAAGTTTCATTTTTTGCAGGATAAAGAGTTTTGGAGATGGATAGTGGGAGTGATGGTTCTACATTATTGTGAATACTTAATATAACTGAACTATATGCATAAAAATGGCAAAAATAGTAAATTTTTTATCTATTTTGCAATAATTTAGAAATTGTTTTTAAATGTTAAAGAAATTAGGCCTAAAAACAGTTCTTCAAAAGAAAAGTCTGATTTCTTTTGTTCGAGTTCCAGATGGTTTAAAATGATTTTGAAATATTAAACTTTTAAAACTTGTTTTGTTATTATAGATGATCTCATGTATTTGTCTTTTTTTTTTCTTTTAGAGTTTATAGACCATTTTATCTTCAACTGACCAATATGCCTTTTATAAATTATTCTATTCAAAAGCCCTGCAGTCCATTTGATGTGGATAAGCCATCTAGCGTCCAAAAACAAACTCAGGTTAAACTAAGGTTGGTTTGAATTTTTACTTACAGAGGGAATTTTATTCAGAATGTCATCTCAAGTAATTTTCTTTTTATATGAACATTTGAAAAGAGTTTATTTTAATGCTATCATGGTGATTATGTATTTGTAATAACTCTTTTGGTTATTTTCCCTATGTATATTTTTAATGCTCTCACTAGATTTAAAATTGAATCTATTTCATGTGTGTTATATTTAGTCACTTTTCATAGAGGCACAAGGAGGGTCTTAAAGGATTTACAAAGAATAAGAATGTATTGGTTTTCTTGAATGATCTGAACATTTTTCAAATTATTCATTCCATTCTTAGTTTCTATTTTAACTTCCTAAAAAGAAATCTGATTAAAATTACTTACTGATACAAGTCTCTGAAAATTATGGCAGATTCTATGTAGGTTAAGGACAATAAATCTTTTGAATTATTTCTTAGGTTCAACAGTTAATTCTTTTAACATGTATTATTTCTATCACCAGAATCCAAACAGATGGTGACAAATATGGTGGAACATCAATTCAACTCCAGTTGAAAGAGAAGAAAAAAAAAGGATATTGTGAATGTTGCTTGCAGAAATACGAGGATCTCGAAACTGTAAATATGATTTTATATTTAGAGGATTTATATTTCTAAAACTCTTAATAGTATTTGCCCTTTAACTTTAGTGCCGATTATCATTTACAACTTGATAATTACAGGAACGGTATTTCTCTTTGATAGAAATATCTTAAATTTTAAGAGGGGAAATAAATATTGAAAAATCGTTTTTATTCATTCAAAAATACTTATTGAATAGCACAGTGGAGTACACAGTACTGTTCACTGCACTGCATGAACAGCATTGGATTAAAGAGACTGAGTTCTAGAAGAATAATCAGACATATAGAGGGAATATTACATCATTCCTGCATGAAAACATTAAACAGGTGGAAGAATGTTGCTATTTATTTAGACTACACAAGCAATATCAAACTAATAAAGTGACATTTAAGTAGAGACTGGGAGAGGTGAAATCAAAACCTTGTGAATATTAAATTAAGCAAACAAGAAAGTCTTAGATTAAACTAATTGACAGGATAAAAGAACAGATGATGGAAGCCTAGACTAGGTGGTGATAGAAAAAGTGCTGAGACTTGGTCAGATTGTGGGTCCAAGAGGATTTGCCAATATATTGAATATTGGGAGTGAGAGAAGATGATGATTACAGTATTTTGGACCTGAGCACTTAACATGAACTTATTTACTATGGGAAGAGAAAAATTGAAAGTGGACAGAATTTTTAGAGGTAGCAGAAAGAGAAGTAGGATAGTTCAAAGGTTCATGGATGAAAAGAGAGTTTCAAAGATGGAAACTGGGGACCTATGATGGCACAGTTAGACTCAAATGGAAGGAAACCTGAGCTCTCATCCCAAGACCTTGAGCTTGTCAGCTTCTGTAAGTGTCCTTCACCCGAGCTGTCAGGGACTCAGGATGGATTATACCATGGAAACCCTGTTTGGAGTACATGTATCTCTGTTTCTTTCTCTCTCATGGATGAAATGATTGGATAGACTTAAAAACAGCAAAAACAAAAATAAAAACAAACAGTAAGTAGTAGGGAATAAATGGGACTGTTTGTAAGCTGATGAACAAGACGAGCTTTTGGGAACCAGCAGTTAGCGTAATAGCTGTATCGCTGGACTCCCACGTAGTCGACCGTGGTTCGCGTCGCAGACCCGGTGGCTTAAAACTCACGCCAGACGCTTGTGCGTGCGTGCCCAAGACCCTGAGAGGAGAATGGAGGAGAAGGGATTGCGGCGTGACCACCCCCTCTGGGGGGTGATTTCTCGCTTTCTGTCTCTCTGTCTGTCTCTGTCTGGCGAGCACACGTGCCCTATAGCGAAAATCTCTCCAAAAACAAAACAAAACAGAACAAGAGCTTTGCTCTAGGCTGCCCAGATTTGAATTCTGGCTTCTTGTTTGTGACTTTGGACAGTGCCCAGCACATAATAAGTGCTTATTAATATTAGCTGTCATTATTTAAATTGTCAATTTTAAAAATAATAGATAGGTTAGTGTTTGGCTTTGGTGTATAAGATAATAGTAAAATTAAGGAGGAGGACAGTACCTGAAAATATCTGGTTCATAAAATATCTCCTTTAGACTAAATTGAAATGTAATTATTTTATTATCCAAAATATATTAGTGTTTCATGTCAGTTTTTTGCATTTTGTTTTTATAATAAGGGTCAGAAATATAGTTGGTTTAAACTTGCTTTTAAGTAGAAACTAAAATATCTCAGAAGAATTTTGATACAGTTCATTCTTCTCAGTTTTATTGTAACCATAAAACCATTTGACTTTTCTCACTGAAAGACAGGTTACTGTAAAAACCAAAGTAGTTTTAGCAGTTTCTCAGAAATTACTTTTATTTTATTCTTAACATCCCATGCAATGTAGGAAGGGGTGTTTTCTTTGGAATAGTTAATAGAAACCTAATTTTAGGGGCATGGAAATGCTAGAAAACCTGAACAAAAAAGACATTCTGTTGCTTAAAAATATAATTTTATATTTTAAAAATCTGTTTTAGCATCTTCTAAGTGAGCAACACAGAAACTTTGCACAGAGTAACCAGTATCAAGTTGTTGATGATATCGTATCTGAATTAGTTTTTGATTTTGTGGAATTTGAAAAGGACACACCTAAGAAGAAAAGGTAATTTCTCAACCCAAGTTTTAAATTCTACGAGAAAATTAAAATAGTTTATGAAACTAAAAAAGAAATCTAAAGTTTGCGTGTTCTTAGGAATATGTGTTTTCAGGGTGTAAAATATTTAATAACAGGTTTTCATCCCTCCTCTCCCACTACCAAAGATGTTTACCTTAGATTAATTTTAGTTGTCTTCTTGACATTATGCTTTAGAAAAGGAATTGACAAGCTTTGTAAAGAGCCATATGGTTAATATTTCAGGTTTTGTGAACCATAAGATCTCTGTTGCGAATGTTCAGTTTTGCTGTTGTGTAATGGACCCAATAGATATGGCTAAGTTCCCATAAAACTTTTTTTAGGAAAAAACCAATACTATATATATGTGTGTATATATATACACACACACACACACACACGTGAGCGTGTATGTGAGAGAGAGAGTGTGTGTGTGCACGTGTGTGTAAGGGCCAACCCTTGGCATGGTGGTTAATGTGGCTGAATCCCACATGACCTACTACACTGTTTGAGTGCTGGACCCAGTGGTTTGAGAAACATAATCAGGCATTTGTGCAGGTGTGCCCAAAATCCAGGAAGGACATGCTACCTGCTGGCCCCAAGACCTAAATTTTTCTACTATTATATTTCTTTGGTTTACGTGATTAAAATAGGTTAAACATCAATTCGAGGATATTAATTACTTTGGGAAGAGAGGGGAGAATATGGAAGAGAAAGGAGATATCCTAGAGTTTACAGCTGTATCTTCAAAATTTTACTACTTTAGGGGCCAGCAAGTGGCATAGTGATTAAGAGCACTGGACTCCCACATGGCTGACTGTGGTTCGAGTCCCAGACCTGGCAGCTTCTTATCGCCCCCCCCCTCACTCTGTCCCTCTCTGGTCAAGTTAAAATAAAGAAATAAAGTTAAATAATTTTTAAAAAAAGTTTTACTTTAAAAAAAGCCTTAAGGCAGGGCCAGCAGATGGCATAGTGGTTAAGGCAATGCACTCCCATATGGCTGACTGTGGTTTGAATACCAGAGCTGGTGGCTTGCCTTCTCTCACTTTCCCCTTTTTTCTCTGTCTCTCTCCTACCACATTAAAAATAATAATAATAAATAAAATTAGGGGCCAGCAGGTGGCATGATGGTTAAGGGTGCTGGACTCTCACATGGCCAAATGCAGTTTGAGTCCCAGACCTGGTGGTTTCTTTCAAGTTAATAAAATAATTCTTTTAAAAATATATAAATAAATAAAATTGTAAAAATAAATGAAAAAACAAAACTTAAATAAATTTGGCATGTTAAGATGTATTTTTGTAATATTTTCTAAGTTAAGTAGGCTTTAATATTTTTCTTCTTTTTTCTATAAAGAATAAAATACAGTATTGGCTCCCTTTCTCCTGTTACTGCAAATGCCCCTAAAAAGACTGAACCTAAAGAAAAGCTGGATTTGCAGCATGTTTCTCAAAAAGACTTCAGGAAAAATAATATACAGGTGCTTGAGCAGAATTTCCTGTATAAAGAAACTCTGGAATCTGAACAAAAGCTTGTGTTTATTTCAGAACTCAACTCCTGCCCTTTGAATGAATTGCGAGGACCTCATGAGAAAATAACTAATAATTGTTTCATGTTAAATACAGCTGAAAATGACATGAAACAGAATTGTATACAGCTACCTCTACAGAAAAATAAACAAGAGTGCATCCTTGACATTTCTGAACATAAGTTCGTTATAAATGACAGTGACGTAGAAGAACTAAGGGTAAAATGCTGTCCATATAGACTACAGACATCTATACAAGTTTCTGATTTCACTGTGGATAATAATACATCTCAAGCAAAACAAAAGTCGGATACTGTGCTTTATCCAGCAAAAGATCTGAAGGAAATGGACCTTCATTCAGTATTTGGTCAGGATTCTGATCCAATAGCAATAAACAATTTACAAGAGCACCTAAAAGTTCATGTAATGACCCCATCCCATTGTCCTCCTGCAGAACCTAGCAAATGTGACGTCAGGAATTTGGATAGTTTACCTTCTGGTAAAATCCATCGAAAAGTGAAAATATTATTAGGACGAAATAAAAAAAATCTGGAACCAGCTACTGAATTTGATAAAAAAAGAATTGAATTTCTTACTACACAAGAAGACGAAAAAAATTGTAGTTCCCCAATGCAGTCTCTATTGGACTTATTTCAGAGCAGTGAAGAGAAGTCAGAATTTTTGGGGTTTACAAGCTGTACAGGAAATAGTGGTATATGTGATGTTTTAGATATTTGGGAAGAGGAAAATTCAAACAGTCTGTTGTCGATGTTTTTCTCTTCCCCTTCGACTTCTACATTTACTGGCTTTTAGACTTTTAAAAATGTATACTTTTCAGAAGTGATAAGGATCATATCCTTGTAATTTTTATAAGTACGTATAAAAATTCTTAGAATTTTTGTCATCTTTGTTTACAGAACCAAATGTAAATATTAACAATAAAGGTGATGTTTGCAATTTTCCACAAATTTAATACCTACTACAGAAAAAGTATAGAATAAATTTGTGACTTCTTTTACAAACTATGTTTACAATTGTTTTCTGAGAATTATAATGCTTTATGTCACTGAAAACTAATTTCAAATGAAATTTTGAGATTATAATATTTGGCATTATAAATTTTTATACTCCAGTTAATATCTGTTGTCCATTAAAATAGATTCCCATGAAAACATGACATTACTGTTTTAGGAAACCTAAATTACATACAGAAAAAAGTTATATTAATTTGTGTGTTGGAATTCTGGAAATCATCAGAAACATTGACATTTAAGGATGACTCAGTTGGACCATGCTGGTCTTGTGGCACTGAGGAGTTAGATTATTTGTAGGAGTAAATAGAAGCCATGAAAGGAAAACTCAAACCAGGCTCACAAATTATATATATATATAAATTTGTAATTCCTAATTTACCTTTGTCAATAACTTTGACAATAACTTCAAAATTTTTTACCCACTAATTTGATTTTAGGAGATGAAAGGAAGGAGAGCATTGGCTTGTATAGTTTTGAAATATATGTGAGGATTGCCTCGATTTGGCACTTATTGATATAATTTGGAGAAGAAAAGTTGGAATGTAAAAAATATTTCAACTTTTATCACTAGAGAGATGAGGCATTTGCCATTCAGCATCTATTCTTAAAGAAGTGAAGCTTTTACAATGTGACATTTTTTTTGCAGTAAAAATTGGTGCCATGGAATATTACATAAATACATTGTCACTAAAAATGAACTGTGGTTAACAGTCTTCATTTTTCAAGATTCTATATGGTTCCCAATATAGAACTCATTAATGTGCTTTTATATTATACAGTCTTGTGTTGATTAGCAGGAGAGATACATTCTGAGAAATCATTGGTGATTTTTGTCATTTTGTGAATAGCATAATGTGTTCACAAGTGTAGATGTTATAGCTTACTATAAACCTGAGCTATGTCACTGGCGTAAACATGTATCAATGAGTGTTATTTTTGCCATTTGGGCTTGAGAAGTATGTTTCTCAGGTCAGTCTGTGGCATGATGGTTAAAGCAGCTGGATCACACATGGTTGACCACATTGTTGGAGTCCCAGACCCGGCTCCTGGAATAACATGCTGGACATTGTGCATGTGTGTGCCCATGTGCCCAAAAACCCCAAAAGGAAGGAGATGGAAGAGAAATTGAAGCATGACCATTCCCCACGGTGGGGAGGGTTCTTTTTCACTTTTCTTGCCTCTTCCTCTCCTGTGAATACATATTCCCTCTGACAAATTCTTTAAAAAGGAAGAAAGATAGGAACTTTTCAACAGTCTTCTTGTTTATACCAGTATCTTAAGTAGGACAGGTAATTTTACAATATATACATAAATTCAAACCTTGTTTCCATTAGAAATACACCATTTTCTGTTACAAATGCCTGTGTATATATGTGAATCTGTTAAGTTTTGTAGACAGGCTTCTAATAATCTGGATGAAACTTGGAAAATTAGGTTTTTCCCCTTAAGTTATTATCTGTATTCTCTCAAATTTTCCTAACAAGAGACATTAAAATGCTCCAGGGGCCAGCAGGTGGTATAGTGGTTAAGGCAATGGACTCCCACATGGCTGACTATGGTTCAAGTCCCAGACCTAGCAGATTTCTCACTTTCCCTCTCTGGTCAAATTAAAAATAATAATAAAATTTAATAGTTCATTTAAATAAAAACAAACTTGTTCCATGATCCTTGAACCTTATTGTGAGTCTCTTCAATTTGAAGTGATACTATTTGTCCCACAGCTTGTCATCATTTGCCTTAGTTGTATTTGATAGTCAAGCAGAACTTTCCAGTAAAAGTTGTTAAACTATTTTGACACTATTTTTGAACTATTACCCTTTTTTTTAAGAGAAATTTTTGCTATAAGGGTATGTGCGCTCACTGGAGAGACAAAGCGAGAAATCAGGCCCAGGGGGATGGCCATGTGACAGTCCCTTCTCCGGTCTCCTCTCAGGATCTCAGGCACGCACACACATGCCTGGTGTGAGTTTTAAACTGCCAAGTTTGGAATGTGAACCATAGCCAACTACGCAATAGTCCAGAGACATAGCCAGTATGCCATCTGTTGGTCCCGATATTGAGCTATTATAGTAAACATGGGCTTTTCGAATTCCCCCAAGATCTTTATAATGAGTTCTAAGGTTTTTAAGAATGCTTATTTGGAACAGTGCTATATACCATTGCAGAACCAACACATGGAGCTTGTATGGGCTGTACTGTCTATTAATAGATTGGCAAATAACCAAAGGGATGAATGCAGGTAGAAATGCAGCCTGTTATTTGTAGCAAGTGTGTGCCGGCAATGAAGGTATAGTCACCCAGAAATAGTACTTTGTTTACTGTTTACCATCTCTATCCAGAGATGATGCTTTTTTTTTTTTTTTTAAATTTTCATTTCTCTAATAGCATGCAATTTTGGTTTGCTTCTCAGATTTGCCTTCAAAAGGACAATCTTTAATGTAGTAAAGGATGAATCTCCAAAGATCCCTCAGCAGGGTAGACAGGAAATTTGGTTTGCTTGATAGAAGATACAGTCTGCCAAAAGTGTTGAGAGAATTATAAAGATATTCCCACAAAGCACATGATAGGTGAAATTTTGTGATATCAAGAGCACTGACACTGAAAGGTGTTCAAAAAGAAAGAAAAAGGCACCTAATTAACTTTAGCAAAGTGCAACAGATAGTGTACCATTCAAAGTTGGTTTCTCTGGGTTGGTCCCAAAGCCTAGTGGATAAGGAGAGCTGGATTCCACATGGCCAGCCACAGCTTGAAGTCCCAGCGAGGGAGGTTGAAAAATGCTGGGCATGTGTATACTGAAAATCGCAACAGGATGGAGACATGGAAAAGGGACTGTGACAAGACCATGCCCTGTTAGAGGATGTGTGCCCTCCCCCCCCGAGTGTACATACCCTCTGGCAATTATTTTTTTAAGTTTTAAGTTGATGGTTCTTTTTCTAGGAATAATTAGAAACACCAGGAGTGAAGACAAACGTTTTGTGACTAAAAGATAAAAATGTTTATTTTTCTAATGATAAATATGCAATTGTAGCAAAAGATATTTTACATAAATCCATATAATCTAAATGTCTTTCAAGCCAGTGACTTCTTTGCATGTGTGGTTTAGTATGTCTTAACATAATTTATGGAACCATATATAAATATTTCTAATTCTGATGTTTGTGGTTTCTAGAGAACTATAATGAATGTGAAGGTAAAGTATACCTATCTTTAAAGGAGGAATAAAAAACAAAAGGATTGTGTGTAAAACTGTCACCTACAACCACTGAATTTGAATCCTTTTTTTTGGAAATGTAGGGTCATTTTTTGTTACCAGATGAGAATTTGAGTTGTTGATTTTTGTTCTTAAGTATTTTGCTGCTAGGATGAATGCATAGTTAATATTCTGGATGTATTAAAAGATATATTAAAATACTTAATAAATTATATATTTAAATGTTAATCCATTTCTTTTTTTTTTCCTGGAGAGGTTTTCGCTATAGGGCACGTGCGCTCACCAGACAGACAGAGAGAGACATAGAGACAGAAAGCGAGAAATCACCCCCCATAGGGGATGGTCACGCCACAATCCCTTCTCTCCATTCTCCTCTCAGGATCTTGGGCACGCACGCACACACGCCCGGCGTGAGTTTTAAGCCACCAGGTCCGGGACACGAACCGCGGTCGACTATGTGGAGTCCAGCAACATAGCCATTACGCTAACTGCTGGTTCCCTCCATTTCTTTTTTAAAAAAATTACTTAACTTTATTTATTTTAATTTGACCAGAGAGGGACAGAGTGGGGATGGGGGGTGTGAGAAAGCAAGCTGGGATTCAAACCATGGTTGGCCATGTGGGAGTCAGTGTCCTTTAACCACCACGCCACCTGCTGGCCCCTATATGTTTTCAGTTTCTATAAGTATAGTTTTGATTCTGAGACCAAAGGGTTTTATGTTATACTTTCAATCAGAAATAATTCCAATGTTTCATCGATAAAGTGGAATATAAGAATAGTGGGCCTTATTCTAGAGACAATGATAAAATTTGTAAAAATAAAAATAATGTAAACTCTCACTGGGCTAGTTGGATCTTTTTTAATTTTACTTCTTTTAATACTTTTTAATTTAATCACTATACATTTTACTGCATACAAAATGAATTTTCCCAGTGTGGATACACTGCATATTAATCTAGTCAAAGATATTACTAAACACATTATCATCAACAGATTATTTTCCATTTGTCTATTAAGCGTTTTGCTTTTTTTTCACTTGATTCTCTCCCTTCTGTCCCCTCATTGCCCACTCTCCTCCCCCACACTGTCTTTTATATGCACATTTGTTCTCCATGTTTTTATACCTTCAAAACTCAGTTTCTGCCCCAAGTGCAGACATTTAGTATATACTAAGAGGGGGCATACAATGCCTCTCTTTCATAGTCTGGCTTCCTTCACTCAGCATTATATCTTCCATATTTGTCCATTTTCTATCAAATGCTAGGGACTCATTGATTTTTATGGCTGAGTAGTATTCCATAGTGTATATGTACCACAATTTTTCAATCCAGCCAAATGCTCTTTGATATTCAGGTTGATTCTATATTTAGTAATTGTGAATAATGTTGCAATAAACGTGGATGTGCAAGTGTTTTTCTGACTGAGTGTATTCCTATCTTTTGGGTAGATACTCAGCAGTGGAAGTGGTTTTTTAGGTTTTTGGGGAACCTCCATATTCACAGAACATTTACGTTCCCGCCAACAGTATAGGAGAGTTCCCTTTTCACCACAGCCTTGTCAGCACTAACCATTCTTTACTTTTTTTTAAGTTGGATTGTTAGGGTTTTATTATTATTATTATATTTTTTATATTTTTTTTAATCTTAGTCATTCTGACTGGGGTTAAATGGTATCTTGTTATGGTTTTGATTTGTATCTTTCCTATAATAAGGTATGTTGAACAGTTTTTTATAAGCTTTTTGACTGTTCATATGTCTTCCTTGAAGAGTTGTCTGTTCAGCTCACTTGCCCATCTTTTATTTTGATTATTTTTTGCAGGTAAACTTGAGTTCCCTGTATATTCTGGTTATCAGTC